TTTAAAGGGCTCCAGTTTCCTCATTGTCCTGCGAGTGGTGGCACCTGGTTGGGGTGCACGTTTCATAGTTTTCCTGGTTAAAAATGAGGGAAAGATGTGGCACTTCAGCTGTGATCTACTGAACCTGGATTTTATTTTTTAGATATTAATAAAATTCAGTCATTTGTCATGTCCTACAGAGATTCTCCTCTTTCCTCTTGACCCTGAATCACAATTAAGCGAAAGGGGTTGATTTCTTATCTATTATGATTCTGCATTATTCAAGTTTTAAAAACAGATTCTTATGTAAATGCATCAAGTTATTGTTTCTCTCTGCTAAGACAACTATGCTGACAGAGCTGAAAAGTTGTAAAACCTAATTTAACCAACTTGATCTTCAATGAAGGCAAGTGTTTGAATGAATTTTCAATATTGGTAATCTCTTAGAGAAGACACAGCAGGGATCTATTTGTTTCATTATAACTCCTTATAAAGCATATAAAGGTATTTTTGTGTCTTTTGTGTCATTTAAGCTCTCTGGCTACCATGCTGGACATAACTGTCCCCAATGATCCACACTGCAACTATAGGAGGAAAATAAATGAGTGTAAAAAATGCTTTTATGTCACATCTAAAGGAGAAAACATAACATATCTAGATAACAGTCTATATTTTTAATGTAATATCAGCGGTCTAAAGTGTAGTTTATGCTGTGTGACCATAAACTTAAATTACCGCAGTCACAGAAAACTAGTTTTGCTGGATATCATGTACAATGTGTGAAAGATGAATAGCTAACCTTAGCCTAGCTAGTCATGTCTGAGTGCACAACAAATGCACTGCCAGTCAAGCTTCCTGCCAAGACTGCTAACATTAGCTAACTGTTAGACATGTTATTTTAAAGACAGCGATAGACTCCATGACCTTGCCAACGGTAAAAATAAATAATCATTAAATCATACCATACTACATTTAAAAGCATTTCTATTGAAATGAGCAACATAAAGTCAGCTTACCTCCATCTAGCCTGTACACGAAACAACTCCATCTCCAGTAGAGCTGAGTGCTGGTCGGAGCCATGGGAGCGAGGGGATTGTGGGTGTGGCCATGCGTTCGATGCAAACCCGTGATTGGTCAATCAAACCCACCAATAGAAACTCTTATTTTGACCTTTATTGACTCGCAACATTTTTAGACTTGCAAAACTCTCACTTGCAAAACTGTTTAACCTGCAAAACTTTCTGACTCGCAAGGAAAACTTTTTGACTTGCAGTCAAAGAGGACAAATTAGCAATTAAAACTTTTTGTGACACACACAAAGGGCTGTTTTATTTTTAATTACAAACTTGATTTTTGATTGCAGTGCGATAAATATGCTCTCAAAAATTTTTTTGGCCTGCAGTAAAAAGACACAAAAATACCTTCATAAAAGTAGCCCTGCTCATTGCTTTGCAACATTGCCCCCAATGGCCTAATACAAACAGATATATTAAAAGTAAGCTACCTTAGTATAAATCTCTGATGATTGATAAATGCATAGTCTCATGGTATATATCATCATATAGCCGGACCCCACCCTCCATTTATTGTTGTATGATTGTGCAGTCTTATATGACTGTCACTGACAAGATGATGCCTAGGTAATTTCTTTCACTTGAACAGACAGATGTGTATTCATTTATCAGAGGAGAGCTCTGGGAAGAAGGCCAATGTGCTATTTTTTTTGCTATATACTTTTGGTTTTGTCCTCCATCTTTCTATAGGTGTGTTCTGCAGGGTTTCTGTAGGAGAGTAAATGGTGGAAAACACTCCTGGCTTACATACACAAACTCACCCATTCCCTCCAGTCTTTGTTCAGCCTCCCTCCTTAACAATGTGTAACCGCCACCCCTGCTTCCTCTCTGCTTCCTGAAACGCAGGAAGTTGGGTGCTTTCGTCTACCCCAGGTTGGAGAAAGGGAGAAAACCAGGGATGGCGGAACCACAGCAAAGGTCACTGACACCAGGGGAAACTCCCTGGATCTGTGGACACTCTGCTTCCTCTGTTCAAAATGTGACATCACCAGGAATTGGAGAACCATCTTGTCTTTCTCATTAATTCATTGCAGTTTTTATATTAGAAGTGTTTTCGTCACGTAAAACAAAAGGTCAGATTTGTGACTGAGGATTTGCAGATGCACGAATGTGAGTGTGCTACAGGTGTATGGGATGCGTCAACGGTTGAGAAGGGTGTGCAGCATCAGTAATGCTGGCCGCACACTAGAGGATAATTGGTCCAATTCGCCCCTCCCAACAATCACTGGGGCATTCCTGAGCCAAGGCTGGATGGAGCAGATTATCGTCCCAAATGATCCTGTTGTGTGAGGGGTTATAGACATAATCTTAAGGTCGCCGACTAGAATGGAGCCACCTCGATTATAAATCGTAAAAAAAAAAAAATTGTATAAATCCTTTTCTCAGCCATGAGTTCGACAGTTTTATTTTCTATTTTTGTGTTTCTGTGCAAAACACAAGATGATAACTGATAACGACAGTTTGCCTCCACGTTTGTTCAGTTCTGAAGTAATGTTTGATCGCACGAGATTCTGTGAGATCCAAAGTCCCTGGAATCGCTACTCTGAAATCATTTAGCATAAATGCCAAGTGTGCGGCCCTTCGTCTTGACTGAATCATTTGGTGTTGTGTGCGTTGTTAAGAATAAAATATAAAAAATCGGGGAAAAAATTTTGATTTGAAAATCCTCTAGTCTGCACCAGGCGTAATCCACCCTCAGTTTTCCTTCCTGCTCTTTGCTTCTTCCCACACCCATCTTTTATTCAATGTCACTTCCTCCTACATAATGGCTGTGTGTGCGTGTGTGTTCAAGTGGCTCTCAGACACAAAAAGACAGTAGTTCAAAAGCGTTTGGACACAATGGTAGTGGCTCACATGTATAACCCGCAGTGTACTGAAAGAGGCTCTGTAGCTGTCATTTCATAATTTTTTTTTTTAATGGTTCATTTCAAACTAAAGTTTTATGTCAACAATGCTCATTTCAGTAAGGTTTTATACTGAAGCTGGTTGCAAACTGACCTTTTCTTCTTCACTTTCACACCCCACAGTTTCTCCTCACCTTTGCTCTCATGTTTTATGTTCCTTTCTCATATCCTCCTCTCTTCCCCTCCAATCTCCATTTTCCATAATCATCTTCTCTATTTTCTCTTCTCGCTGCCCCTTCTGTCTCGTCTCTCCCTGTCAATCATGTTTCAAATTTGCCCCTCTCATCACTTGATTTTCCGCTCTCTTATCCTTTTCACCTTTTCTCCCTCATTATCAGCTTGTCACTTCTCTTCTGTCTCTCTCTCTTTTGGCATCTGTTTCTCTTTCTCTCTATTAGTCTGTCTGGGTGTTGGTCCATTATGACCCTTCCTGTTTCACTGACATAATCCAAGAAACCAGGAAGCTGCTGATGGGGTCATTACACCACACAGTTTTTTTTGTGTTTTAAGATTTAGTTTAGTTTTCTTGCCTGTATTGAGGTTTTAGGAGTAAGTATTACAGTTTTAGTTACTGATTAACGTAGACCAGTATATGATAATGATCATAACCTTATGTCAACAATATTTTCATCTAAGGTTGTTCAGTATATTAAATCACTCAACCAGGCCACCAAGCAACCTTGGACATATAATTCCAATCCACTGTTCAAACAACAGTGGTGCTCTGTTTTAATAGCTACAGCTGTGAAGCAGGCTCAAAATGTAGACCAAGAAATAACCAAATCCTGACTCTTCTCAGTAAATTTCTTGTTTAAATTTGAATAGTAAAAACTCTTATTTCCTCCTGTGGGGTTTAATCAGGGCAAAAAACTAGGACACAAAACTGATACTGATATTCGGTGGTTTTACGTAGCAGCCATCTGCCAGGCAGCAGTGTCTGTACTGGTTCTGCTTTGGCACATACATGTCTAACAAGGGAAGATGGTATGTTAACAGCAAAAATAAAAGCTGACAGGTAATCTCTTTAGAAAAAGATGTCTTTTTTGGCTGTGGGAACATGAGATGGGCATTTTCACTGTTTTCTGACAAACAGTCTATCAATTAATCAAAGAAATAGCCGTTAGATAAATCAGTAATGACATATACTTTTTGCAGCACTAAAACACACAGTTTCACTTTGTTAAACACCAGTTAGCCAGTAGTAGTTGCACTCTTTTAAGCAATCAGAAGTTTAACATGTGACTTATGTTAAAGTTAAAATTTAATTCAAAAAATCACATCAGAATGCTATCCAGAAGACAATGGGGACGATTAGTCACTCAGGAACTTCATATGCGGACAATCTGATAATACTACTGTCTTGCTTTTACAAGAATTGAGACATGTAAAATTCATGAATTCATCTCCGGTGGCATATAGCTGTACCTGTAGCCGTCAGTGTCAGACTCAGAAGAGAGATGTTGTATAAATCTGCTATCAGAATTCATCAGATCTTTTTTTTTTATTCTTACAGTTTCTATTGCCAGCTACTGTCTAATGTTGTGGATGACCCTAGGCGGTATGTGTGTTCAGACAATGATCTAAAACAAATCTATACCTTACTGCTGTGTTTGCCTAGCACATTGATTTACAAACTGCTGTTTATACAGCACTGGTGCAGCAAACTGTTGGCTAACAGATTGTTTTTCCATTCAGTTCAGCTCGTTACAAGAAAGGTGGTTAACCTCTGAAGCTAACCCCACAATTTAGCCTAAAAAGTAAAGGTTTCAGTCTATAATGTGTTTCAGTTATTCTGGTACAAAAGGTGTTCATTGCTATTGTATATTTTGTATATTGATTGTTGTATATTCTGTTGAATATCATTTTGTCAAAAGAAATTTTAAGAAGTAGTTCAGCTATTAGAAAAACAATATGCAGACTCGAAGTGAAATTGGTTTTGTACCGGAAGTGATTCCTGGTTGTCCAGGTTTTTGTTCTACAAATCCAATTGGAATTAAACGCTGAATGCTGCCTATAAGACTTTTTTTGTTCCTCTTCTTTTCAGACCTGCCCATGGAGTACAATCCCTCAGATCATCCCCGAGCCAGCACCATCTTCCTCAGCAAGTCACAGACTGACGGTGAGTACCACTCTGTGTACACCACTCATTTCTCCTACTCCTAAACCTACTTTTGAAACTTCGACAGCCCTTGGCTTGCAAATCAGTCGCTGCATTATAATCAGGTTTCTTTCAGGACAGTATCTTAAGACAGCGGCAGGAGTGGCAATAGTTCACAGTAAAGTAGGGCTAAAACATTTATAGGGATTGTTGGTGAGTCACGTCAAATGCTTATACCGGGCACACACAGGACCTGCTTAGATGAGGCTGATGGAGCCTGAGGCAAGATGAAGTTGGATTCTGTGTTGTTGTGATGGCTTTTTTGACCCTAGAAACTCACTTAAAGACTTTAATGTTATTAGGGCAAGACTGAGAGTGTGTACTAAGGACTAATGTAATGGGTGATGCTTGCTATTAGTTAGATTTTAAATTATTAGCCCTCTGATGGCTGTAGGGCCTCCTATATGCATTCTTTTTGAAGACTGTAGTTTCAAGAATGTGTTGTGCAATTTTAAAGCACTGTGAAATGATGCACACCTCATCCAATATTAGTACCTCGATAACAACAAGCATCAGTCTTACAAAATAAGTAAACACATCATACTGCTTAGATACAATTCATTACAGCAAGTGTAAATCATGAAACCTATTCTAATGTGTACATCTCTAGAATGCATTAGACAGATAGTTCCATCAAAGATCTTGTGTATTTTTTTATTATGTTTTCTCGCCACGTTACGCCCGCTCTCTCCCCAACCCCCTCAGGGTGTTAGAGATCTTCACAAATCCCCAAATCTGTGCCAGAACCCAAAAAGACAGAAAGGCACAACCCAAATCCTTACTTTCTTTGTTGGCCTTGAAACAATATTTGAGTCAGTCGCCATTGATCCTCAAAAATGTGGCACCTGCTGAGGAAAAAGTCATTGACAGAGCAGCGTTGCCATATGTGCACATTAAGCAGTAATGCAGCCTGCACAAGTAATTTATATGCATGAAGTACATAGAGTATCTTTATGTTTCAAACTCATGAATGTCAAACAGTGGCATATGCCGCTTGCTTTTTGAGAAAAAAGCTGTTTCATTGATGCTGGGCTAATCCATGGTTCAGTTCAGGCCTCGATTTTTGAGCCATGGTTCCGTTCATACCTCGGTTTCCCAGGTGAGTGTGGGGAGAAGAGAAGAGGAGCAGATTCAAGTAGTAAATAAACACTAAACTAAGGTGGAAAATGACCTAGAATAACCTACTGTCAATAAAAATACGATATAGGCCTACACCGCTACTGGTGAGTCTCTCGGATCCACGAAACGAGACTGTGGACTTTTGTGTTGCCGTTTCAGTCTCAGTTTCAGAACCGTTACAGCCCTACTGGGATTTCAGATGTGGAGCTATACAGTAACAGTACTGTTGATCAACAGCCTTTTATCCACCATAAAGGCTCCAGTCAGGCTCCTGTGGAAGATTATATACCACCTGCCTTTACATCAGGTTTTTTTTTTTTTTTTGAGACACACTGGGGTGTTTTGATCATCTCTGTCAGACAAATAGACTAATACTGTAGCAGTGTGGCGCTATTAGAGTGATAGTAATACATTTTAATCAACTGAAATGTGATGAAGTTGGTTTTCTAGGATTACTTTTCGGGTTAGACATAATCTCTTTACTTTGATGATAAGAGGCTTAATATTGTTCCATTTGCACACACTTGAGAAAAGCTGGTTCAGCTGAGGAGTTTGTAGCCTGCAGGCTGATATATTGATCTGATATCAGGTGCTTATGCTCTTTCAGCCTTTCAAGCTGTTGTGTGAATGTCCGCTGGCCTGTTTTCTCAGCATACTTTTACATAAAAACACTCCAGTCTTTATGTAACTATACCCCACTGTGCATCTGTGTCATAAACAAACATAGAGACAACTTGGACTTTGTGTTTTTTCAGTTGCTGTGCCCAACAAGAGAGGTAAGCCTGTATGTGTCTGGTGTCAGTAGGCAGTTAGCATTATGCTTACTGTGTGTTTGGGCTTGACTTTTCATGTAGCCTCAAGCTTTATTGTATTCTTGTTCTTGATCTGTATCGTTTCTTTTAGCAGGTGATGTGTCTTCACCGCTGAGCTGCTGATATCATTCTATGTGTGTGTGTTTGTGCCCATGTGCATGTCCATCTATGGGATGCACCACTATGAATACGGCTGCATAGTGTTAATCTAAAAGTTGTGTTTTAATTACTGACATGACACACATCAAGCGTTTATTTCATTTCTGCGCTTTAGAAGTCGTTTCTGCAGAGGAGGTGTGAATGAAATAAAAGTTCGAATTCAACCGGGAGTATGAAACTGTGATTTGACACAAGCATCACAGCACATTGTGTAGAGGAATATTTAATGTGTAGGTGAAGGTGTGTAGAGAAAATTATCTGAGAAATCACTGCGGTCAGGAGTGTGATGTAGTTTTTTCCACTAAAATAAGCAGCCCTAATTATGGCGCAAGAGCCTGATGCTTTTTGCTAGAAAGCAGCGCAAACAGTCACGACTGCCCAGAGGCAAAAATAAAACCCCACAAACACATGCATTACATTTTGACTGTGTGTGTGTGTGTGTGTCAGAGAGGTGAGAGACAGACAGTGCTGGATGAGCATTGCCAGACAGCTCACTACATCTGTGTGTGTGTGTGTGATACTGCGCCTTGCATCTGCTCCACTTTGCTTTGCCACCGATCCTTTCCCCCATGTGTGTTTTGCTATATCAGAGTGAACATACACATAGACACACACATAGATGTACAAACAGACACATTACTGACACACAGCTGTGTGTGTGGCCAGATTTAGTATGTACAGAAAGAAATGAAAAACATGACAAATTGCCTCTTGAATAAAACAGTGAATATACTTTATTTGATTTAGACTCGTGAAGGCCAAAATGATGAATGGAATTTATTAATGAATTAGCTCACACTCATTCCCACACATTAAAACACAATTTTCAATGTATCAGGAGAGAATTTTAAAATGCAGTTTGTTAAAACTGCCACACTTTGTTTAATGTAGTTTAGAATACATATTGGATGAACAGCTGTATTCCTCTATTTTCTCAATCTGTAATGATAAGGGATTTAAAAACCTTGGGTAAATGCTGCTCCCTGTCTGTGAGGGCTGTGTACTGCACTCATGCTGAGCGTGTGTGTGTGTGTGTGTGTGTGTGTGTGTGTGTGTGTGTGTGTGTGTGTGTGTGTGTGTGTGTGTGTGTGTGTGTGTCTGTGTGTGACAGCACTGACACCTGTTCTCTCATCTTCCTTTTCAGTTCGAGAAAAACGGAAGAGCCTTTACATCAACCACGTAAGTACAATAAAGGACATTGTGTATGATACATTAAAAGGGTGGTGGATCTTACACAAAGACTAAGGACCATGAATTGGGTTTTATTATGTAACTGTAAATTATTTGGTGGTGTTATACAATTGTGAATATTATAATTGTGCAAATGGTGATTTTAATGTCTTGTATTTTTTGCAAGTTCACACACATTTCGGAGAACAAGGTAAAGTTCCTTAAAATAAAAATACTGACCCTTAAAATAATCTAAACCTTTTATCATTTTCCCCTCTTTAAACCTCACAGATTCCACATATAGTCTTAGTCATGTGCATTTAACGTTGAAAGATGTCGTTTATTGACATAGATGTAGTTAAAAATGTACCCAACAATTTCATCATATTATGGTGTAGTTCATCTACGTCCATCCCTCCAAAAAACCCGGGCCACACTGCCTACTTCTACCTGTGTGTGCCGGCTTCCTCGCTGAACTGCTGCGGCTCACACGTGTGTGGCGTCCACACAGAGTTTGCCTTTGATAATGGCCATCGGTATTAACCGTAACCCTAAAACCTGGTACTCAACCGGGACTCCACTAATGTGTGGAGCCGTGCAAGTCACTAAATTTTCCACAACACGGTCCTGCAAATATTTCACAATAAGAGCCTTGTTAACAAATTAAGGGATTCTAGAGGGCATTTTAATTTGAAACAGATACATGAAGTTTTAAGTTAAAACATTTTTAAATACTTTTTTCATGTCTGTGACATATTCTACAGATAGACATTATAACTGAAATGAAGTGTTGTCGCTGGTATGATGTCGACTAGAGGTGTGACGAGATCTCGTGCCATGAGCAGTATGTGGGTGAAATTAGCATAGAAGATGCCCCTGCCACTTTTCAATTGTTTGTGTGGAAAACAATATGTAAGCAGCATTTCAAAATGAACCTGTATTGTTTTGTATTTATGTAACTTTCAGTCCAATAAATGTCTATTTTTCCAGTGATATATTTTGTCATTGAAGATTTCTTAAAAATAGTGTTAAAATATTCTTGTGAACCCAACATCGTGTATCATCTCGTCTCCTGAGCTAAGTGTTATTATCGTCACACCCCTACTATCAACAGATCATTTTCATTGTATTATTGCTGAGAAGCGTGGGGGAAAAATAGGAGCCACACTGATTCTCTAGGTGACGCACTGTTCAAGTGGGCTGTGTGGCTACTCTAACCTGTTAACATGGTCAGCAAAGAGTTTCCCTGAGGCACATGCGCTGCTCAGGTAGGCTCTGTGGCCCAGGCGTCAAGTGCCCCATTTTTAGTGATGGTGTATATATCTTTTTTTGATTTTTAATTTTTGATTTAACTTTCAAAACAACTCATTTGACATGATAAAGCTCTGGTTCAGTATGTTCCAGGAGAAAATTAACAAAATGAGTCAATGGGGGAAAAAAAGTTGGTCACTAAATGGAGGTTTGGTGCTAAAGATGCACTCCACCATAAATGTCACACCTGCATGCAACCATGTTAAGTCCTGATAGAGGACAGACAGAATTAGGTTGTGGGCTTTCAGGTGCCCTACTTTCCATGGCTGTTAGCTGGGCTTTTGGCTGGTCCGAGTTTGACAGAAATAGAGATTCACATGCATATCTGTGTCTGTCTATATGTCTATATGTGTGTGTGGGTGTGTGTGAACTCCAGCATCATCCAGGCCCAGTGAGAAGGAAGTACAGCTCATGTTCCACCATATTCCTCGATGACAGCACTGTCAGTCAGCCCAACCTAAAATACACCATCAAGTGGTAACTACATAACCAAAGCTGAAATACCACATTTATCTGCTATTTCATTTTCATTCAGAGAAATGTTTTGACTCATTGTCCTTTTCTTTTTTTTTTCTTTTTTTGTCTATACAGTGTATCTCTCGCAATATACTACCACATAAAGAACAGGTATGATCAATTCTTTCATTTTTTCCCCATGTCTACTAAATTCCACAGGCCTGCATCAGATATCAATGTCAGAAAAAAAACCCAGACAATTACAACAAGTTTGTGCAATTATGCATGAGAGTAGGATGAGAGTATGAATATGTTTTCGCATGAGGCAACATTTCTGTCTCTGGTAGGAATCCCACAGAGGACAGCTGTTTTGAAGTACAGATAAATACCCATAAATGGCAGTGCATATTGAACAGGCAATACCGTAGAGGACAAAGTCATATTTTAAATGAAATGGGTTTCATGCCATCTTTTTTTTATTTCTATCACACTCTGACGTTCTTCCTATCTGTCTGTCATTCCAGAGATGTCGACGGAAGAATGTTGTTAGACATTTTCGATGAGAAGCTTCATCCGCTCTCGGTAAGGCCTGAACTGAAGATAAATTTCCATTATGCACAAGCTGTAGAGCTGTCAGGCGTCATCAGCAAGACAAACCACACAAGCTGATGAACGGCAAATAAGCCCACATGGATCAAATCAGGGGAAAACTGCCTGGTAATCTCGAGAGCCATCTGGATCAGTCAGATGTATTTTCAGTAAAAAAAAACACTTTTGCTTAGCAATTGCAGAGTTTCAGTCCAAAAATGTCAATAACTACTTTCCCTGATGCTCCATATCCAAAACCCACAAAGCACTCTGTTCAAAGTGAATTGTCATTGGTAAGCAAATGTGTCAACTAGCAGCTTGTGTTTCCATTTTGGTAAGTCCAAATGTTGTGAACAGAGGTCTGTCCTTTCCATTTTGCTATCTTCTCTTCTAGAAGTCAGAGCTTCCTCCTGATTACGACAAACACGACCCTGAGCAGAAACAGATCTACCGCTTTGTCAGGACGCTGTTCAGTGCCGCACAGCTCACCGCTGAGTGTGCTGTTGTCACATTGGTAAGTGTGTCTATTTCAGTGCCGACACCAGGAGGGAGTGTTGCTTCCTGGTTATCTTTTTGCCCTTTCTTGTGTCACGTGCTACCTTCTTTCCATTGCCTTCCGACTATTTTCTCGCATTTATTTTTGGACCTCATTTCTTCTCCTTGAGCTAAAAAAAAGTTCAATCTATCCCTCTAGAGATTGTTGAAAATATTGAAAATTTAACTAATTCTCACAACTTCTAACACACTGCACTTCTCACCTGCATTAAAACGTGCTACTCCCCCTTCTCCATCTCATTCCTTTCTCTTTCTCTCCTCCCCGGAGTCTTTATTTCTTTAGCATTTGTTTTGTGTGCTTTCTCTTGGCCCTGTGGCCTAGTATTGAGTTGCTCTGCTTCCTGACAGCTGCACACAAGTGTAAACTGCATGTATTGGTGATCCCTTGTGTACAGATGGCGATGGGAAAGCAAGTACACTGGCACATAGTATTTGTGAATGTTTCTGTGTAGGAGTCTTTATCTGTGTACAGGCGTACTGTGACTTCACAAAATCACACGTGACTTTGGCACAAAACATCCATTCCCTCAGAGTGAAGTCTGGCATGCTATCAGTAATTGAATAGGTATAATATTGGCTAATGGTTATGTGGTTAGTTAGTTTAGTTTGGGTTTAGTTTAACACAGCTGACATTAGACGGAGGAGTTTAGATGGGAGTTGACACTGATATGTTTAACTGCTGTGTGTTTTAATCTCTACCTACACTAACTGGACAGTCCTGCCCAGGTAATAGATAATACATGAAGAGTAGGAAGAGAGTTACTATATACTATTAACACTGGCTCAGTGTATTTTCAGATATCCCTGCAGATTAAGAGAACTGGTTGTTTAAATGAGAAATGCTACACATTGATGGTGTGGAGTTTAGACTTGGGGTGCTGACTAATGGTATAGTAAAAAACAACCACCAGTCAGTAATGTGGTCAAATTGATTCCTCTATTTAACTGAGTGAACCATAAACTTCAAATAAAGTGCTTAGTGCGTTGGCTTCCCCTTGTTATGAATAATAACACTCTCTTATCAGAGCAGGATTACTTTTTAAATGGTCTCTACTTTTATAGCTTCGGGCCACTCAAAGCATCACATTCACACACATTCATACACTGATGGCAGAGGCTAAGGTGCCAACTGCTCATCAGAACAGAAATAAACATTCACACACCGATGGGACAGCCATCAGGAGCAATTTGGGGTTCAGTATCTTGCCCAAGGATACTTTGACCCGCGATTCTTACAAATAGCGGGCAACCTGCTCTGCCTCCTGAGCCTCAGCTGACCAGAATATAAGAGAGGGCACAAAATCCTTGAAATAATGTAAATATTGAAATAGTATGTTGTTTATCAGACAATCTGTTACAACATTTTATCCAGTGAGAACGTCCTCGGTTTTGAAAATGTGTGTCTGAGGTTAATTGAACCTTTGAGCTCCACGGAGACTACTTTCTCTGTCTAGTACTGAACTTCATCTGTGACATCGGCTCAAAAATCACAAAATGAAGTCATTTGGGTTTAATTTGGTTGCACAGTGCTGCTGTTTGACAACCACGTTGCCTCTGGATCCTTTGCTGTGCTTGTTTGTATAGTTTTCTTTCTGTGCTGTTGCATTCATGTGGCCCAGTATGTGGTCTGGCTCTCATTTCATGCAGGCTTTATTCAGTTCTGCGTGCTGCCTGCTGCCAGATGAGTGTATATGTGGTGTCTGTTGGCAGGTTCTGGGACACAACAGAGATAGGTGAGAATTGCCTATAGGCACAAAGCCCAACCCAGCATGACTTGTCCAATTAGCCACCTGAGCTGTGCTAGTGGGCAAGTCAAACCAGGCTGCAAAATAGGATAAAAGAATATTTTCATTTCTTTTTCGCAGCCCTTCTCTTTGCCTCTCTATTTGTCTAAACCACAAGGTGCCATTATATGTCTAGTAATTAGATGGTAATGTCATCATCTAAACAATGACCGTCTACTTTCCAGCTGTCTTCTAGGATTCTGTTTAGGTTTTTAAGTCACATAATACTGACAGTTCTGCCACTGTGCAGATTCAGACTGAATTCTACGGGGAATGAACAGTATTTTCCACTCTGTCATAAAAAAAAATACAGCATCTCTGTCAGACTTTTCATCTGAGATGACAGTTCTCAAAGCTACTGTAACTGGATTGAATTCAGTTGAGCCTGCAGTAAATTTTATTTATTGAAAATGAAAGATCCTAGTCACAAGAATATGATTTATTGTTTGTATTAAGACCATATCTGTAAAATAGAAATAAACTGTAGTATACCAAAGTTATTTATTAAAATGACTAAATAAAAGTGCCAAATCAATACCGAAAACTAAAACTATATCAAAATCTATTTCATAATGTAAAGCCGGATACGTACAAAAAACGTGTAGGCTACTGGATGACACTTTTTATTTTTGTGCACTTATTACAGAGAGAGGCTGTTTTAATACAGCACATGCATTGTGTTGTTTGGGAATGTGTAGTTGGAGGTCAGTGAGCTTTTATGAGAAAACTGTAAGGCATACTGTAGCTCCCATTTGCAAGCTAGACGTTTAGTTGCCTCCACGCTGCTGATCACAGCAGCTTTTATGCTTGACGACTGTAAAATCTAATGGAATACATTCTCTCAAAATGATGATCAATAGATCAGAAGAATCAGTACTGTTCAAGTATTCCAACTTGTAAGGACCAGGTGCCTGCGGGCTCAGTGTGCTTTGTGATCTGTAGACTGTGGGATTTCTGGCTGCTGAAAAAGAGAGCAGAAATGAAATGAAACTGAAAATGGTAAGAGAGGCAGAGAGATGCAGTGTTTCGATCCACATGGATATTTTAATGAGCAAGCTCCAGGGGAGCTGGATTTCATCAGCTTCTGACATCTTGTTATTGTGGTTTTTACCTGGAGGAGGAGTAGGCAGGAGACTGCAAAACAGGAAAGTGGCAAACTAACTCTGCAGATGAATGTAGACAGGGAGAGCAGAGGCTAATTAAACACAGAAAAAAGTGAGGACATAATTACACAAGTATATTAAAAAAAGATTTTGTTATATTGTGTTCATTTTATGGAAGACAGAACCCACAGGGATCCCAATTATATAACTTTGTATGTTCATAGAAGTGGAAAAGATCAAGATGTTTTGAGGTATTTACATGTGACACATCTTTTTGCCCAAGGTGTATTTGGAGAGGCTCCTGACCTACGCCGAAATCGACATTTGCCCTGCCAACTGGAAACGCATTGTGTTAGGCGCCATCCTCCTGGCATCTAAGGTCTGGGATGACCAGGCGGTCTGGAACGTCGACTACTGCCAAATTCTCAAGGATATCACTGTAGAGGACATGTGAGTTGCTGGATACACACCCAAAATATTGCGTTTTATTGATATGAAGGAATACAACAGAAATACAATGCACACACAACAGAAAGGCCTATAGGTCAGGTTTGCTAAATGTCGGTGCCACTGGTTATGAACATACAGGGGGCTGATTTTGTTCCTTAATATTAAACAGATCATTTCATTTCCTCCTCCATAACAAGAATTATTGATTATTATTATTTGTTAAATATAATAATGTTTCTGTGTTGTGAATCAGATGTGTTCTTTTATTACTACACTGAAAATATAATTTTACTCAATAACACGTAGCCTGTATTTGGGCTAGGTGATATGTTATCACAATAAAAAATTTAATATAATTCTATATCGATATTTATCATGATTTTTTTTAGTATTTATTTATAAGTTTAATGGCTAATTTTTGCACCTGAGGGTTGAAAAAACCTGATCGTTAATTGATCGTCAAGTTATTCGTTATGGTCAAAACAAGCACTTGCCAAACAGTGGATCACTTAAAAAATCTGAAGTAGAACATTAAATACAATTATGATCAAATCTTATTTTCAACAAGCATGTGTAAGTAAAATTAAGTAAAATCATTTTTCAGTCCCTTTTTTCCACCAAAAATTAATATCTTAAGAGAAAAAATAAGTGCTAATTTATTTGTGGTTCAAATAAATTCAATTATTTATTGAACATTTGATATTTTGTTATTGAAAAATATTATATTGCAATAATTTTCATTATTGTTTTATTGCCCGGCCCTAGGCTGTATACCGAAATTGTTATTTTCATTGCATAAACTATTGAGATTACATCATGTTTATCTGAGAGCCAAGCGTCATCCAGGTGCTTAATGTTATGTTGCAGAGCTGATTTTGAAGTGTTTCAGCTCTCCTTGAAACAGGCTGTTGATATACAGTCTCAGCCATTGTTATTTACCATTCCTCTTGTCTACCATCCTGTAGCTGTCTTCACCCCCATGTAGTAACATTCCGGGTTGTTCTATCCTGAGAGTAGTCTGTGTTTGTGGGGTCAGCCTGGGTTCAAGAAGTATTGAGAGTCACATGTATGGTGGTCTGGAGTCTGGACATGCTTAGAGCGACCTCTTCCCAGTTTGTCCTTGACTGTCTGTTGTTATGGCTCTTGGACTGCCCCCCCCAAAAAAAACGCGATACAGTAGGTTGGCTCAGTTAAATATAACTCAGCCTTATGATAAAATATTTTCCCCTAATACATTGTTATCTACCCTTTGTTAGAGCGAGATTTATGCACTAGCAATAAATCCACATAGCGTCATGTCACCAAGCTTGATGCAAGGCTGGTTTATTAGTTCCTAACAAGCTGACAAGAAGAGATACGTGACCTTTAGTGAATATCAGTGTTTAATAAAACATGTTCCTACTGAAGCAAAGGAGGATGTCTGTTGTAATACATTGGATACGTTTTCAGGGTTAAATCTTAGACTATATGGAATGGGTTTATCTCAATATGACTTCATCTTGCCATGTGTGAGACAGAGAAGAAGTATCTTGAGAATGAGGACCCACCACCACACAACATCCGTCTTAAATCCACAGGAATCTTGGCTGGATTATTCTGAGAGGGAACACGATGCTGTAGACGTGTAGCCGCTGCCGCAACCTCTGACCTCTGCTGCATTCACACTCTTCCGCACCAGTGGCTGTACATTCTTGTCCTTGGGCTCAGATTTTACAGAGCAATGACTGTAATCCACCTGTTAGAGACTCTCTCCAGTGAGAGGATGTGGTTCTGCCATGCTCACATATGGCAACTTACAGGACAATGACTCAGTTCTGGACCGGAGATTTCCTCGGAAGATCAATTTTAGTCTTTTTAAATCCATGCTCGGGAACCTAGGCACCCCCCGCCCCCAACAGACACAAGCTATAATAACTGCAGGGGAGAATTGTGAGGAGCGGAGAAACACAGAAAAAAAATAGATGAGACTAGCTGAATGAGTGCCATGGCAAGATAAAAAAGCAGCAGCATTATTAGGCAGACTTTGGCTACAGTGGAGTCTAAATTTAGCTTGTCTGTTGCTGCATGCCTGTAAATGTGCGTGGGTGGGGAACAAATGCTAGGAAGAAGATGGTGCCTCTCGTGGAGGGTACAATGCAAAATTATTCGGTCATGACTGAAGATAAGCAGATGAAAGTGGCTGTCAGCGCACTGAAGACGGGATAACAGAGCCGTGGAGCATGAGGCAATGCACACAAAAGCATTTTCAGCACGTGGAATTAATATTCTTTCTTACACATAATGCTCAGAGGCCTTTTGCTTAGATATCACTCATATGGGAAAAGGCTTATGTTTTAGTGGGTGTACTAGGGATTCACTTGGTGTATGTGTATCGGTGCTGTACATGTGAAGTAACATCCACTGTCTGTGTGAGGTGGTGGATTTGCCGGGATGGTCTCATGGTCTCTCATCTCTTTGTCTCTTCAGTCTTTTGATATAGAATGTATTTGTAGACAGGCAATTTAACTTCACTAATTTAACTACCTTTATTTAAATCTCCTCTAGGTAGGGTTCCTAGCTAAATATCAGATATATTTTTTTAGCCTGTCAAAGGGCTCACTTTTCAACTCGCACATCTCTCTCTCTCTCTCTGTCTCTCTGACACAAGGAATGAGCTTGAGCGTCAGTTTCTGGAACTGCTGCAGTTCAACATCAACGTGCCGTCCAGCGTCTACGCCAAGTATTACTTTGACCTGCGCTCCCTAGCTGAGGCCAACAATCTCAGCTTCCCCCTTGAACCCCTCAGCAGGGACAAGGCCCAGAAACTAGAGGTGAGTAGTACACATTAAAAAAACTGGAAACACATTGTGATTTTTGGAGTAAAGAAAAAGGAAGAATTGAAACCTGAACCCATTTTGTTATGGCCTGAGGATGTGGAATACAATGAACTGAGGCTGTCTGGCTAATTACTGTTTTGTAGTGCCTCAGCTCAACACTCATGGACACAAAACACAGACTGTACATTTGATGCTGGGTGAAGGACAGGATTGCCATGTTGCTGAGTAATTAGCTTCACTGCCTCTGACTCACTATCCCTCTGCTTTGCTGCAGTTTGCATTTGAAACAAATCTTAGCAGCTGTAATGATGTTGGCGAATGCATCATTGCCGGCTTTTCTTCTCTGTCCAAAAGATACTCTGTTTGACCAAAGTAGACCTTCTTCACAGAAGTAATTTTAACATTTCATAGCAGGCTTTTTTTGCCTGTTGTGAAAAACATGAATTTATTGGCGCGATACATGTGTTACTGGGTAATGTACTAGAGAAGTACCACAGTGTCTGAAAGGCCCTGTATGGCCACACAGGTGTTGAATTGCTCAGGCTGATTAGACCTGTAGTCAGGTTGAAGCCGGGTAGAGATATGCCTGGATTTATGTGATCTGATAATTTGTTTGTTTACTTTTGAAATGTTTTTTAAAATATTTACTTTTAGATCCCGACCAATATGGGATTTTTAAGAGCCATATCGGAATGATATATCAGGATTTTAATATCTGATATATTTGTTTCAGAAACACATAACATAAACTAACCCTAACATTTGTTATGTGTAGTTGTATTTGTAGCGTCATCAAGATAATATGACAAAATGCAGTTTAAAAATAAACTTTTTGTTTTGCAGTGGATTTGTGGGCTCATAATAAAGTAAAATTAAAAGATGTACTAGAACTAAACAAACAAATAAAAATAAATTTAAGATAAAATTTTTAAAAGGGATGGCTGCTTTTTTTTTTTTTTTTAAATAGATCAGCTAATGAAATAAATTAAAGATAAATAGACTGAAGCAGACTCAAAATAGGCTCTATAACATCCAAAGCACATCTCTTAATGTGCCCTAGAAAACCATCTGAATACTTTAAGCCAATAATCACACAAGACAGGACAAAACCAAAATAGATGACACTGGGATTTTAAAGCTTGATTATCTCACTCCCAGATGACGCTTCTCTTGTCTCTTTGTGTTTTGGAAGTATTTCCTGTGTTTGGGTGAGATTGCTGTCTCTCATTTGTGCACATACTGACAAAGATCTCAACCTAAATAAAAGGGGAGGCCTCGCCATATCCATTTCATTTCTGCTATGTTTTGATTTTCAGGCCATCTCACGGTTGTGTGATGACAAATACAAGGACTTGAGGAAACAAGCCAAGAAGCGGTCAGTGAGTGCAGACAACCTGACGGTGGTGCGGTGGTGTCCAGCCATCATTTCCTAACACTGGCCGTCTACAGCACCAAGATAGACCTGTCAGACAATCTGTACTGTATTACTGCCTGTTAAGCAGGCAAACCAGGTGGGCAGCAGTCCTGTGGAACACTGGGTCTGTCTGGAATACACACACACACACACACACACACACACACACACACACACGATCTGGCACTTTTTGCAAGTGTGATTGCACCCTCTGGTTGTTGTACATAAAAGAAGTCGCACTGGCTGCTTGCACTGAACCAAACAGAGATGAGCTGAACCAAACTGAAGTGTGTGAGTGAAAGTTGTTAGAATAAAGACCTTGACTGCAGAAGAAAAGAAGAGGCCAAACTGAAATACAGCTGGCAAATATGAGAAACTGTATGAAGTTGGGAAAAGAAAATAGGAACAAGGTTAATGCGAAACATAACAGATGACAGCGGCAGCAGCGTTCCATAATTCCCTCTGAGACTCGACTGGCTTGTACGGTTGACTGAGGGAGGCCGTGCACATTCCTTTAATATTAATCTTTTGGTTCAGTCACTTTCTTAGCTGAAGCTTGAGATGTTTTTTGTTTGACAGCTTACAGGCACATTTAACATTTTTAAATGCTCAATTCCTCAATTTGTTTCAGTGTTTTGTTGTTTATGTGTTCTTTTGCATTCCCATCCAGCAGAAACCTCTGCCTGCAGATATCAGCCCACACAAAGGAAAGACATGTACATTCCACTGTTAACTTGAGTGTACAGTTGATTCATTTGACTGGACTTCATATCATTCGCCCTCCTTGACAAAATAGTCCACCGTGTAGTCATTTGCGTTGTAGCCGTTTTACTGAAGAGCTAACCTTAAAAAAGCAAGTCAGCGTTTGGCTCAAGGGCGCCTGGGAATTCAACTTGTACTATTCCAGTTACAGAACAGTTTCTCTTACAGCAAGACCATCCAGCCACCATTCAAATAAAGCTATTCACTTAAAGCAATATTCATGCATTGCTTTGTTGTTGTGATTAAATACGATGAAGCATGCATTCTTGGGAGAATACTGACTTGAAGACAGTAGACTACTACTCCCAGTCAGATGTGAGATATACTGTAGAGCTTATGTTGTACTTAATTCACTGCCGTTGTCCTGACCTGTGGTGCCTGTGATAAGCTAGTTTTAACACTTCTCCCCTTTCTACTGGAGGAATAGAACAAATAATTCTGAAGTTTTGTTTTTTTTTTGGTTAACATTTTGTATGGTTCTTCCAGCTTACAAAGAAACACGAGCACAAATGGGATATTGACATTACTGGAGAGGACCAAAATGAATGAAGAAGCATTAAGCGGCAATTCAAACACTGCTTACAAAAAGATAGATTGTATACATTTTTCCAAATTGTCTCTGTACAGTGTAAATACTACGCCAGTGTGCAAAATCTGTAGACTGAGGTCATTCTGTAAAAAATCAGAATGATGTTCAAATATTTATATCGGATCAGTTTTTACTGTACATGAGAAGGATGGTAAATATGTTTGATTCCTTGTTCAAATGACAAATCAAGTAAAGACAAAGGTGAAGTATTAAGATTTAAAATGGGAGACACCACTTGAGATTTTTTGTCTGTTTTCTTGTTATGATGTTTTCACACTGAAAAAATGCCAAGTTTTTATATGTTACATACTTTGTAATATTTAGATAACACAAGACTATTCAGGCTTATTTTATGATTTGTTATTTTTTGATAGATTGTTTTTTTTTCTCTGTGGAAGCATTGCCAGATTCAGATGTTGTTAAGTAATGTTTGTTTCTTAGGGAGCCCCATAACTGACAAAATGTAGTAAAAGGTTATCCAGCAAGTCAAAAATACAGTAGATAAATAGTACTGTAAAGTAGATCATTAAGAGAATGTAAAGAACTATAAAGCTTTATAGATTTCCTTCAACCTCCAATGAGTTGGAGAAAAAAGTAATTTGTTTGCAGTTTGCAGTGATTCTACAGCAGTAGCCTATGCAGTAATGTATATGGATTACATAACATTATGTGCACTGTCATAGGAACTGGATACTCAAAGATGGCACCCTCTCACTTAAATGAAAATTGTTCGCCTGGCACATAAGCCAATATGTCTGTAGTCCACTGCACATGCGCACTAGAGTTTCCCCTGCTCGCCCCATAGACTTGACATTGGTATGACGTCACGCAAATAGAGTGCGAAACCACTTATATTGATCAACAAGATTGGGACAGAATCATTACTATACAAATACTGTTTTAACAGTTTGCTTATAGGAATCAGGTAGTCTGCTTACAGTGTTCATTTTGGGTCTTCAAACTCTGCTACCAGTGCAATGTTTATAGCCTGCAGTTTATTTTAAGGACTGTTCAGAATTTAGAAATGCACCGAGACCACCGTTGAGGCTTAGTAGCCTATTTGCACATGTTACTTTATTTGTAAACAGCACAATACTGTCTTAGGCTTTAGTCTAATTGTAATTGAACTACTTAACTGTGTTGCTGTATAGTATGTTTGTGAGTTATGCACAATAATTTAATTTGTACAGCGCTTGCAACATCTGTTCTCTACAGTTATTTTGAAATGGTCAACAAAATTTTAAATATAAAATAATGAAACTTTTTTCATTATCTTATGTTTATGTAATAATACACAATTGTCAATTAGATGGTTATCTGCAAAAAAATCCTTTATAATCATTTGCTGATAGTGATCAGTTTGAACCTGACAGACGTGATCTCTATAAATCTTATAGTGGAAAGCTCTTCCACGTTTTTGTATAATATAAAATCTCAAGAGATTTAAAATCTGTAATACAAAGAGTAATAATTAACCTTGTTTGCAGTTTGACATTCTTGTCCACAGCTTTACAAATGTCTCTTTTTTTTAATGGTGGTCTATAGGGAAAATACTTTTTGGACTTCGGGGAAGTTTTTCATTGCAGTACCTCAAGTGGCCACTGGGACAAATAGGCAGCAAGACAGAGAGTTATATCAGCTCTATAATATCCATATAATCCATGATTCTGGCACTAGTGTTTTCAGTTAGGCTAGCTAGCCACGCAGTTATCTTGATTGTTCACTGATGTTACACAAACCCTTAACTAAAAGGGAAATGTTCTGTGGGGGAAAAGTAGGTTAGAAATCAAATGATTGTGTCCCAAGGACGAAGGAGTTAAAAAATAAAATGAGTTGCTGAAAGATGAATAGACAAGTAAAATTAATAAAGTTGTGATTCATTTTGTCAACTGATTGGAGGTTAGAGGAAAAGTCACAAGCTCTGTTTGTTTTTTTATTAATACTATTTAATGACATTTTAACTTATATCTTTGACTTTTCTGAAAATCCTTCACAGCATTTTTTCACTTTTGGGGCTCTGCAGTTTCTTGTATTTACTGGATATAAGTGAAACTGTTTTGTTGTTTTTTTAACCAAGAACAAATCACTTCCTGATTTGCTTTTCTTAACATTTCATGGCTCAGAATTAGGAAAATGTTCAGGGATGAAATAGAGGGTATACCTATAAAATCACTGCAGTTTAATTGGTGTAATTCATTCTAGTTTTCACACTTGAATGTTAATAAAAGTGTTAAGTAATGCTTCAGTTGTACTACTATTATAAACGTTATAATAGTGGTTGTTTGCCTTATGATCAACTGGACTCACATTTTCCTTCACTACACCATTAAATAGACGGTAAATTAGGTTTAAAAATAGGACAAAACCTGGAAGTGATTGAAAAACACACAGAAATTGCTTTTTTAAAATAATTCTTCTTCATAACACGAAAGGTCAGAAAAAGGTCCAAATTCAAATGTCAACGTACCCTCCTCCAAGCTTCTGTTGTTTGTCAAACTACCAGAGAGTCAGTCAGTGAGATTTCCATCCCTGAGCAGCAGGGGTGAGAAGGGACAGAACTACCAAAGTCATGGAGAAATGAAGGACGACCCTGTTGGAACATGTTGCTCTGATCCACCCCACTTGCACATGAAGTGTATGACAAGGTATTAGGACTTGAATCGAGAACTGTTTGTTTTGCATGGTGCTTCAAGTGAGTGAAAAATAAAGTGCAAAATGTGTCTTTAGGAAAGTAACGTTACTGAAGTTGCTGTTGTGAGTTCAGACTCTTAGAGGTATTCAAAGATTGTATATCCTATTTATTGTATACAGCCCAGGCTGGCGTTTTCTAGACCCAGAAGTAAGCTTTGATGCCATGTGGTCAACTAAGGTGAGTCCTGAGGTGGGAAATTGACTCCGACAGCAACGACCTTGAGCCTGTGGCGTCCTGTCAGCTGGTTAGGTGTGTGTCATAGCCTTGTGCACTGAACTCTACCTCTGCATAGAGTTTTTTTGAATTTCACAAATTTAACTTTGATCATGGCGATTTTCCCTTGCTCAAACATCAGTCAACTGCTGTAGCTGTGACCTTTTTTGTTTTATCATTGAGTGATATTTTCAACAAGTTGTAGACTACTGTATTCTGTTGTTGTTGTTATTGTAAGTGTATTATTTACTTTTCAGTTGAGTCAGTTATTCTGTTTCTCAGTTTGCCAAAATCTCTATCTCTGTTCTTTTTCTCTGTATGTTTTCATTATGATTTTAGAGAACTGCTCCCAATTCTTCTCTTCTGAAGCAATGTTTAGAAAAACCTGTGCAAGAATTAAACTTTAAATCCTTGCAATAAACCCAGTGTCTGTTTCCTGTGGGATCTAAAAGGATAAATTCACCCATTGTGGAAAAGTAATAGCAATACACACACTTACTCTGAGACCTCAAGCCATCTTTCATTGTGTTATCACGAGTGTTTTCCACACTGCTATCACAATATTTCAATATGTACTTTATTGTACAACTGATGTGACTCAGCAGGGTTTCTCATCCCAGAAAGAACCATTTAAATGGCTTAGAGCCAGTGGTAATACAGAGATTACACTCTGACATATTGTCACTGAGGGACACATTTAATCCTCCGTATTAGTCTTGATTTGCATTTCAATGGCTGCTGTGGTAATTGCTATACTATTCAATGCAATGAAGAGCTGCTGTGAGCTTTAGTGAGAGCAATTGTCAAACATCTCTTGTGTGCTACATTATTTTTTGCCTTCAAAACCACGTCTCTTGGGTTAATGAACCCACACTTTACAGTCTCCCATATTTTGTTTGGCTATCAGTTTATTTCCTTTCTGTGAATTTAAGTCCAGCTTCATTCTCTCCGCAGTGGCTCATCTCACCTCACCCACCTCATACATCAATTTCAACTAGGGGTTAAGGTTTGATTAAGACTGGTACATCAAGAGCTTTTTTCAAACAATAATACATGAGGGACTGTGCTCCTCTTCTTGCACTACGATTTGAGCAAAATTTGATCTTCCAGATACACAACATCAGCTTGTGTAATTGCTAGAAAGGTAAGTTTCACCTTACACAAGAGCAGCCTCTTACGTCGACAATTTGTTTCTAACAGCTGAAACAGATCAGGTCAACAGGAACACTATATTTTTCTCAACTAACGTTTGGGTCTGACTTTTTTTCTTCTTCGTGCCTTGTTATATGCTTTTTGTGCACACATTGATCTCTTGAAAAAATACAAAACACTGGCGTGGAAGTGCATGGAGACAAAAGCATTTAATATCCCTACATTCAGTGGAGGAATTGGCTTGCATGGAGTTGAGTTACAAAGTCAGGTTGGATCTCTTGACACATGAAAATAACGAGCCTTGGTAAGGTTTCAATAGACTGCTATTCTTCCACATAAAGAGAGGTTTTATAGCCAAATAAATTAATTTAGAGATGCTAAATATGCAACTTGCTTGCATTATTAAAATATTTTGTAGCTACCTGGACATGGAGCAACATTAGCATTTGTTTGGTGTTGTGTTTCTGGCGCTGAAGAAGAAAAAAATCCATCGCCTCCATCCTATAAATCTGTTTGTGGTCTATGATGATCAAGTAACGACTAAGGCGGGAAATCTCTTAAGTAGGAGCTGCTGGACAGGTAGGCAATGGCAGCGATCTGAAATGAAAGGGATGTTATAATATTGTCAATATTGCCTCCCACACAGCTACGAGGGGACATTCACACTCTATTACAGACAGTAATCCTTTGCAAATAAATCCAGGATTGTTTTATAATGTACCCAATCTACCATATCTCTAGCTAATAACAGCAGGAGGTACATGTTCCCTGCAATAGTTGGCTGAGGACAAACATATACTATACAAACATACAAACACACGTCTAATATTACATCTGGAAACAACTGCACAAACATTAGAGCTGGTTGTTAAAGACAAAAGAGACAGAATGACAGTGGGTTTACATCATCGTAAAAATCTTTTTTTTAAAATTACATCAAGCAAGCAGAAGGAGAGCAAAACAACATATTTTTTATTACAAAAGCAGCATATAAAATGTTTTTGTCTCTTTGTTGCTGGTCATTATCTCAGTGAGTGAAATTGAAAACAGGTGTACCTCAATATCCTGTAAGTAGTAACTGGACACTCTCAAATAGTTGTGGGAAGGGTAAAACTGTTCAGTAGATGACACTGTATTAAATGTGGTGTGCTTAGGTGTGAGACTGTATGTGCGAATAGACAACTTTACAAGTCGATACTACTGTAGGTAAGTATCTTAAATTAGTAATTTCTTTGGTATTGAGTGTTCTTGGAATGGTTGCACCTGTTTACTTCATCCTGCGCTTACCTGAGCAGATGTGTTCCAATTTAATATGAGGCTGAAGCAGTAACCCCTAATTCCTCTGTAATAGGAGTGAGGTATAGCTGTTTACTTTCATTAACAAAAGCAAAGATGGGCCATAGGTTAAAAAACAACAACAACAAAGTCTTAAAGTCTGCCTTCGCTTGTTGCATTGCTCATCACCCCTTTCATACTTTCCCAATGCCACACAACATTCACTGCCCTTTAATTGCAGATATAAGTAATTTTCCATCCTGTGTTACAAAGTCAAACATTCAGTTTTACAAACTATTTATTTTCAGCAGCATCCATTATATATTCCCAATGCTAGCCGTGACATCCATTCAGAATGAGCCATGTGGGATTCTTACTGTGAACCTGTGTGGAAGTGCTAATGACCATTGATCTGTAGTGGTTATGAGCCAAGCCAACTGTCTTTCGCTATGTGTCCCACCAGAGACCTTGTCTGTAGGTGAGGGTGGATGCAGCATGTGAGAAGGGATCTGATTTTTCCTCTGCAAAATTATTTTATTAGGGGGATATGCACTTTGATGTGCATTTGTACAGGAGAGAACTCATATGAAGTTTAGAATTAATCTCATTTCATTAAAAATGAGCATTGTAAATCTGATTTCTTGATGGTAATATGAATTTCTGTTGTACTTCAGATAGATAATAAAACATATTAAATTACTATCCAGTAAGTCATTATCTGTTATAAACTGGCATCAGCTGTGGGAAAATACAGTTTACAACCTACTTACATTTCATGAGAGCTTATCCACATACTACATATTTTTAATGGAGCAGCCAGATTGAACATGCTTGCTATTGTGCTTGAGAACTTAATACAGCAATTTCGAGTGAGTAAGCCAGGGGGCTTGTTACTCTCCTGTAAGGACGACCAGCAGCACCAAAATATCTCTGCAATGCCAGGACGGCAACGTGCCTTTGGAAGTGTGTTAAGAATAGACCCACAATAGGGCTCGCTCCCGTCTTCTGTTGTCTGAGGACAGACAGTTGTCTGCAGGGAACAGAGGAAAAGGTCATTTACGTGGTTTACTTAAGACTTTCAGAGACTTGGGTGACTCAAATGGATGAGATTGGATTCACCTACAGGGACCTGGCACATACTCCTTCTAGGAGACAGAGTGAGTCAGACTGCTGAAGGAACTTTTTGTCCGTCAACCCGGAGGTTATTGTTTTACGGGAAGCCCCTTGGTAGAAAGGGTAAAGGAGAAGTGGCTGGATAGGGAGTGAGGTCTTAAGGGTTTACCTTGTGGCCTGGAACTGGAAGGTCAGAAGATTTTGGAGGGCCTTAAGTACAGCAAGCATGGCGGGATCAAGTGCCTCTGAGATCATCTTTATCTCTGTCAATCGCAGCATCACTTTGATGGGTGAGTTGACCTCACTGACACATCAACTGGTTTCTGACTAACATAAACTTCTGCATTTTGTTTGTTTGCAGTGAAATTGTTTGATATTTCTACAGTTCTATAAACCTCAGGGTTTCTATAGATCTATAGATTTTGCAACACAACACACCTCAATTCACGAGTCACTGTAAAATCAGCAAATTCTTACTACCAATGCGTTTATTTTTCAGGGAAGGTGTGGCTCATTGTGATGATCTTTGTCCGTATCCTGATCCTCCTCTTTGCCGGTTATCCTCTCTACCAGGATGAGCAGGAGCGATTTGTATGTAACACCATTCAGCCTGGATGTGCCAACGTGTGCTATGATCTATTTTCTCCGATCTCTCTCTTCCGCTTCTGGCTGGTGCAGCTTACCACCTTGTGCCTCCCCTACATCATCTTTATCATCTACGTGGTCCATAAGGTCTCAAATGGCCTCACCGTGGACTTGAGCACCTCGAGTCACTTCAAAACCTTGCCGCTGTTTGAGATCCACCAGGAGCCATTCAACAAGACATCTGTAAACAAGATGCCTCTGGTGGCGGAGCGGTGCTTCACAGGAGCCTACATCCTCCATCTTATGTTCAGATCGTTGCTGGAGGCAGGGTTTGGGGCAGCTCACTACTATCTGTTTGGTTTCTACATCCCCAGGAGGTTCCTGTGCCAGCATCCACCATGCACTACCCAGGTGGACTGCTACATCTCCAGGCCCACTGAGAAGACCGTGCTGCTCAACTTCATGCTCGGTGTGGCTGCTCTGTCCCTTTTTCTAAATATGTTGGATTTTATCTGGGCCGTCAAGCGCTCAGTGAGGCAGAAGAGCAGGAGGAAGATGATGGTGAAGAAGATTTATGAGGAAGAGCAATGTTTCCTTTCAACCGGAGGAGCTTCCAGAGGAATAGACCCACATGTCTCTCTGGCTCAGCAGGGTCTAGAGGTAGAGGCTGGTAAAAAAGGGAGTTTCCGGAAGAGGCGAGGCAGCAAGGGCTCTTGTGGAGGGGGGGTGCTTGCTTTAGGGCAAGAACCCCCCTGCCTGGAGCACTCCTCTCTTCCACGCTCTCCAGGACCTCCAGGCTGCAACACCAATGGGAACAATGGTTACTCTGTTTCCCAAGAGGAGGCTCTGGAAAGGGATGGCAGTGAGGTGGATCTCTGCCCCCCAGAGCCAATGGGGACACCCAGATCCATTCGTGTTAGCAAACGCAGCCGACTCAAACCGCCACCTCCGCCCAGACGGGACCTTGGGTCATCCCCCGGTGGGACCAGCGGGGACGTTTCCACAGCAACAGCAATCTGTACCAGAAGGGTGGGTCAGTATACGCTGGTTGAGCTGGGCAGCAGTGCAGAGCTACAGACCAATGACGATGGGCAAGAGAAAAGATCAGAGTGGGTGTGACTTAGAGGGTTGGATTGCTTTATTTCCAGGTTATTTTGGAACACAAGTGGGAATGGGAGAAAAAAAGTGGGGGTGCAATATGAAAAAGAGACACACGAGGCTGACACAGGGGCAACAACTGTTAGAGTTGACATCCCGCCTTGCTCTCCTCCTCATTTCACAAGAAAGGCTGCACAG